TTTTGAAGAACAAAAACCCTACTGAAGAACAAAAACGTGAAAATAGGCTGAAGAACATATATTCTGTTCTTCAGTTTTCAAAGAACACATTCGTGTTCTTCACCATATTCTCCAAAGAACGGAAGAACACAGATTTCTAACAGTGTACTCATGCAATAAAATATCAGGTCGTTCTTTAACAGTATATCGTTTGGTATAATAACCGACCGTGAGAACAAATGTTTCTCACCTATAGGATCTGAATTCAAGATGATTTTAGGTCTCATTTTTTTAAAGTGGTAAGTAATTTTTCCCTAGGTTTGCTTACTGAATAATTAAGTTTTAAACTTGGAAAGCTTTATGGTTGAAAGATTTTTCAGTATTTTTTTCGAGAAAAGAAACTATACAAGAAATAATCTAAAAAGATACCTTTGTGATACTTCAGCCTTTTATACTCAAGTCATAATGGAGAAGGCGTAATGTGCTTTATGAAACACGTAGTTTTCTAGAAACTCATGAACATTCATAGCCAGTGATGGAAGAGTCATATTTTACCGTTACTCACAGTTGACTCGGATCCAAGGTGAACGACTCGTGGAATCTGAGAAAAAAACTCGAGCTATTTTCTAAGAAGTCCAGTTTTCGTTTTGCTGGAAAAAAAAAATAATTGATGAAAAATAAACAAAAACTGACAGCTGAAGAGAGAAGAAAAAAAATTCAAAGAAATAAAGTTTTGTCAAAACGATGGTTGCGAGATATCAAGATAGTACTTTAAACAATCAGATTAGCTATGTGAAAGTTAAAAAGTTTCAAATAAAGCAGTTCAATTCCAATAGGACGGAAGATGAGTTTTTTTTTCTCCTGATCTCAGCAGATATTAATAACTATTGCAAGATTGTATTAATTTTTTGGTGTTAAAAACAAGATATGTACTTATCATCATTGTATATTCATGTTCGCTTAGCGGCCCAGAACATAAAAATTTGTTCGGTTAACTAAGACTTTTTTTCTCTCATTTAGTTAGCTACAGTCAATAGAAAAAGAGATAAGTTTTACTTGTACGATCTGTACAGAAAGAAAACTAAAACCAGAGAATTAGTCTTGTTCGATTCTATGGTGACTATTCAAATAATTTTTTTTTTTTTACATGATTGTGTATGTCTGAACTAAAAAGCATCGAGTTTTCCATATGTAAAGAGGAAAAAATATTTCTTTTGCTTTTATTTTTTTATGGAGTATGAAAAGAAAAAGGAAATGTGCATAGAGTTGTGAGACATGGTCAAGTGAATGTCATAGTTTATTATTTCTAATTGAGAAAAGACTGACTCTGGATGGGGAAAAAACTAAGAAAGAAAGAAAACGCAAAAAATTTCATAGTATCATGAAAATATAAACAAAATTAAGTTCAAAACTTATAGTGTGTAAGATAAAGGACATTGTGATCAAATCAAAAATGGCAGAACGCACAGGTACAGTTTTATTCTATATAAGTTAAAATATACCAAAAAAATGGTAATAACTTCTATATCATAGTTAAAGATTTTTCGCCTCTCACTGTACGCTCTGCAAGCCACTGGTTCATGGCGCAACACAAAAATACTTTTGAATGTTCGACTCAAAGCTTTTTCTTTGCCTATCAACTCGGAACTACTTTGTTATGAAAACGAATATGAAAGCGAGATATTCAGATTTGTTCAACAAATAGTTAGTTATTCATGCATTTGATAGTCAAAAACATTTTCTGCTCAAAAACAAAACCAACTCTTATGAAACTTCTTGTAACCAAGATCGTGACTTCTTGAATTTTTCCAGTAAGATCTTGATTCAACATCTTGATAAGAAAATGTAAGAATTCAAGAAATTTCAAGAAGTCAAGATCTTGAACATCTTATAATTTCTTGACTTCTTGTACTCCAGATCTTGGAAATTCTTGAATCATCGTTTTGTTCTACACTCTTGTGTAAAATATAAGTGCGAATATTTCCAGACTTAGAATAATTTCGAACTTTTTTCCTTCTGGAACATAGTTGTTTAAGAAAGAACCTATGACTCTATATGGTCGTATATCTGACGGCTGTGGCTGCCATAAAGAAAGACAAAATGTAAAAAAATTCTTCACTTAAGATCTTGCAACATACATCTTCAGTGGATTCACTCGAGAACTTGAAATTTCTTAACTCAAGATCTTGGGTACAAGAAATTTAACTAGGGAAGACTCACCGACATTTTAAAGTCGACGAAGAATGGTCAGAAGTTTGACATTCTAATTGCACCGCCTACTACGGCTGGAATATGATCATAGTCAATTAATCATCAAAAATCTATCTGATTTGATTAGTACGGTAAATAACTAGATCTAGAAAACTGCTGTCTATGTTTTAGCTTACTCGTCTGATTTAGTATCACCAATTGCTGAACATGTTTTATCGGTGTATGAAAACAAAAATGATTTTGATAAATTAAAAGCAGGTTTAGAACTGATTGAGAAAGCAAAATTATTTGATTTCGAAAAAGATTATTATGGGGCCATTCGCTATTATCGCGAAGGTATTGATTTAATCATGGACGAATTTATGTCACGAACAACGGGTAATGAACAATCAAAAGAATATTTGAGATTAAAATGTCACAAAATATTAAATCGTGTAGAAGAATTAAAAAAATTAATCAAACATCTTGAAAATGATACATTGAAACAAGCTGTGGATGATGAACGTATAAATAATTCTAATGGTGCAAGTAATGATTAACGTTCTCATATTTTATGTTATATCCCAGATGGATCCAACTAACATTTATATTTATGCAATTTTAAAGGGGGTGACACATTAGAGGACCCCTCTATAACAGAGAATCCCCTCCTACATTAGAAGACCCCTCTTAAACTCCTGATGCAAAACCATATTGGAAGACCCGCCTTTTTTTATCGATTTTTCGGTCTGAAAATGTTTCAATTGAATTCTTGTGTTCAATAACATACTATTTTTTTCCGTCGCGTTTTACTCAGCTGTTTGAATGGCAGCTGATAGACGAAAAGAAAAGGCAGTGTGCACGTATGCTCCTTTAGTGTTGTGAGTTGAGATAATAAGATGTGATGTGAGTAGATATGATATAATCAAAGGAGAATTTCTTTTATCTCTCTCCACTATGCTCACTTCTATCAACATAAAAAACTCCTTTCGCTCACTTCTAAAGCGAGAACAGAATGCGTTTTTACTTGCCGTTATCTTAAGATAATGTTGTTAAATTACTTTTTCTGTAATATAAATGGAATATGAGTTACACTCATAGTTTGATTGAAACTGGTTAAAAAAATGAATAAAATCATCAGAACCAGCTAAACAGTGCATATTCTACTGACACTAAATCAAGGTATTTTAGCCGAAAAAACAAGGCCTTTTGTAGACATAATAGGAGACTCCTCTAAAAGTTGCGTGCTTTTAGCCGTAATAGAAGACTCAGTTCCTCTAATGTGTCACCCCCTTTACTTAATTTTCTTTTATTTTGTATTCTTATAGTTTTTTGCTGGATGAATTATTAAATACGTGTATGTAATTGTAGTGCTAGTGTATTCAGACATTTACTACTGTGAAACTCGTGCGTCAGTATAGTACTATCTATTTCGAATTAAATTGCGGATGTTTAGTTTTTGAATAACTCGAGACAGAAAAGAGATAAAGACTTGCGGTTTTTGCCAGTAGGATCTGATTTACACAATTATAATTTATGGAAAAAACTGATGATTTTTTTGCAAAGATTAACGGGTGTTGCAAAAGTTCCTGAAAAAATGTCTCTTCCTTTTTCTTCTACTAAAACATGTTTTGGAAAAATGAAAAGTAGCTATTCAGATTCTACATTTCAAGAGCTTTCTAACTGTATGCTCAAAAAATTTCTATCACTTGTGAGCAGTAAGTGCATCTTTGAAGAGCACTAACATGTAGTCTGTAAAGAAAAGAAACTTGTATATCTTTTTGATTTCAGCAATGAGAGCATTAAAATGAGAGATCAAACTATGATCTCCATACGAGATTACAGAGTACACTTTTCTCTACAAAATAGACTCTTCGGAATTATTTTGCGTATTGAAAACTGAGCATCCTTTTAAGTTATTCAAAGTCGTCGTTTTTTGAAAAATCGTGTTTTTTCTGACATAGAAACTAGTGTTCGCAAAATAACGATAACTTCTAAACCTTTTGTCCTATATCCTATTTGAGCATGTCGTTTTGCAGAGAAAAGTCTGCTCTAATAGTTTACATTGTTAAAATAATTCTACTCAACGGCATTGAATTTTAGACTTGGAAAAATTCCATGTATTCCTCTTTCTAGACCAAATGTTGGTGCGTTTGAAAGATTCACTTTGTGCTCGTAGGTCAGAAACGAGTTTTTTGAACTGAGGAAGTTCTTCAAATGTAGATTTCGAAGAACTTGCTATTTTTTTCTAAAATATTTTTAGCACAAGAAAAATGAAATGACATTTGCACAAGAACTTTTGCAACATCCGTTTTTTACGCACTAGTTTTATGTGCCAATCACTGCTCGAAGGTCACAAGTGACAGAAACTTTTTGGAACATACAGTTAGAAAGCTGAAATGTAGAATCTGAATAGCTATTTTTTATTTTTCCAACATATGTTCTAGCAGAAGTAAAACGAAGAGACATTTTTCCAGGAACTTTTACAACACCCGTTATTATATATTCTGATCTTTAGATATTCAGACCGGTCTCCAAAAGTGAAGAAAACAAATCATCATACAATCATGATGCAAGAAAAGCAGAAAAGCTTGCTTTTCTAGCATATATTCAAAATGTATATTTTTCTGAGAAGGTAGAAAAGTACAAAAGCGTGGTTTTTTTCAGTAGAAATTGAAAATATGCCTTCTTCTGGAAATGAGGAAAAGCAAAAGGGGGACTTTAAGGTGAGAGTGCGGCCCTCCATGATATTTGCCAGCGTGAAAGAAAACATGAAGATAACTGCAGATCTCGACATCTATGTATCTGGATATCTGAATAACTGAAGATCTTAACATCTTAATATCTAAATATCTAAACATTTGAATATCAGAATATCTGAGCATCTAGATATTATGCAATTGCAGATGTTCACGAATCAGACTGGCCTCATTTTCGCTGTTCGATAGTCAAGACTTTAATGCATCTTTCCATAACCAAAAAGAATTTGAACCGAATTTACTAGAGAACCACTGGAAAACCGATTCATAACTGGCAAAGATAATGTAGCAATATATTGGTTTTTAGTTTTCACGAATAAATAGCCTAAAGTGTCCACTTGAAAATAGAAGTCAAGGGAGATCTTTTCAGTGATTCGGACTTGTAAGGATAAAAAATTCATAATTCACTCCAAAAGCATCAGAACGAGTTGAAAAACTTCAGGATACACAACACTAATGCTATTTTACATCTTATTCATAACAAATTTACAAAAGAAGATTAGAAAACCTGATGGTTTTCCGACAGGACTTCTGTAAAACCAATATACAAAAAACTGTTTCTCAGTTTATGCCATCGTATAATCACGTTAAGCGGGCAAAATTAATCATATCCTGGAGTATTCAACTCGTTCTGATGCTTTTTGAGTGAATTATGAATTTTTTATCCTTACAAGGTTTCTGGAGGATTCATTAATATAAACCCATATATTCTACTTTTCCGATCTTCGCATCACATCTAGTGAACAAAATTTACCGTATCGTGAAGTTTTCAGCTCGTTCTGATGTCTTCTGACTGAATAGTGAATTTTTTAATGTTATATGACAACAGCCAGAAGACCCTAATTTTTGTAACACTCGCTTTTCGCTAGATATTCAAAACTGTTTCTAAAAACAATATTGCCACCAGACTCAGCATGATCGATTACCTATAATCCACCAGCTCTCAGGGCTATCAATAGTCAGCGAGTGCCAGTCCAGGGACTAGTAGGGAATTTGAGCCATGAAAAATCAACGTCTCGCTTCACTCCCGTTTTGAAGAGGAGGTCCCAGGCTACTAACCCATCAAAAAAAATCAATAGACTCCTATTGAAAAATGTTTACATACAACCTGGTTTTTCTGTTGACCTATGGGTTTGCTGAGATGTTTAAGAGTATTTTGGATGTTAGACTACCCAGCCACATTTTCTACTCAATAGTCTATACAGCATTCTGTAGCCCGCGAAATCCTCTATCGAACAGTATATAAAGTAGAGTGGTTAACGAGAAAATAAGTGGATATTATAAAACATGAACGATGTTGACCGACCGATTTGTTGAGATGTTCAAGAGTGTTTTGGATGTTAGACTACCCAGTCATATTTTCTTCTGAATGACACAGCATTTTGTAGCGCGTAAAATTCTCTATCAAACAGTATTCAATAGTTGACGAGATGAAAGATTCGATTTATTTGGTGTCAGACACACGACCTATTTCATTGTTGGATGTGGTCTTAAAAATATTAGAACGTCTGTTTTTGGAGCTTTTCCAAAAAATTGTATGTAATCGTGGGATTTTGCACGGTTCTCAGTCAGGTTTTCGATCAAATTTCCGCTTACAATCGCGTGTACTTCTTTTGATAGGCCACATCTCGTCGCTGATGAGTAGCAGTGCGCCGGTTGCTACAGTGTTTGTCGATTTTAAACAAGCTTTCGATGAATTATGGTGGGATGGATGTATCGGTAAACTGTTGTGGCTAGGCATCCCGAAAGCGTATGTTGTGTGGATTGATGCTTGGCTGAAAGATCGTAAAGGCTTCATTGAAATGCAGGGCAATTGTTCGAGTTATTTTCCTATCTCGAGGGGTGGTCCACAGAGGTCGTGTTTTACACCAACATTGTTCATTGCATACCATGGTGACATGTGGACATTTTTGGAACTTTCCTTATCAAATTTTTTCGCAGATGATTTGACTTGTATCTTGAGTGGTATGATTGATGTTAAATATTCTCAACAGTACCGAGATCTGGAGAATAGACTAAAAACGCTGTTTGACTACCTAGAGTTCTATTCGATCCTTGTCATACAACCGATAAATTATAAAAAGACAGAAGCTTTATGGAGTGCCCGAGCAGTGGCTTCTAATAATTTTGAGATTTTTTGTTCTGATAATAAAATCAACTGGACAAAATGTTTTAAATATTTGGGATATTACATTTCTTGTAAACTAGGTTGAGAAAACTGATAAACATCGCAAAAACAAACATTCGTCAAAGAGTTGCGATTGTTAAGTCCTGCAGAATGAGTGGCTCCTCAAATCCTTTTTTTAGAAGAATACTCTTCCTTACATACGCGTTACCTTTATTCACGTGGTGTTTGCTCTTTTTCCTCTTTTTTCAGGTCATCAAAGATCTGATCTTTCTTACTTTTACTGCACATGTATCAAACGAATTTTTGGTTGTACACATTGGAACTAGAGCTCTGCAGGTTACGACTTTTTGACAACCTATTACCTAACCTATAAAAATCTTCACAGCATAAACCTAACCTAATTTACGAAACTGGTAATCTAAACCTAACCTATAACCTATTAATGCTTTTCATAACCTAACCTTGGTTAACCTAATACAGCCTATGCAATTTTTTCCCAAATCTAATTTCAGAAGTCTAAACTTCAGTTTTGTTCCATGTCGTTATTGCTTTTTATCTAAACACCGTCTGAAAGGTAAGCTTATACAAAATAAATTCCGTTTTACATGAATATATAAATGAATTGGTTGAGTCTTTTATTCTTTGGAAAATAGCATCTATTTTTAGCAAACGTAAGTTTTTTCTCTGTACTTCCTTTTTTGATTGTGCTATTTTTCAATTTAAAAACAGTTCAGTTTAAACTTGAGAACCTCAGTTTGAAGTTTATCCCCAATCGATAAAATTCCACTCGGACTACGCTTTATTACTCAAAGTATTGACTGTTTTAATATGGTGGTTCAAAATCGTTTTTTTTCGTTTAGGTTAAAAATAGGTTATCAATGGCATAACCGACAATCTAACCTAACCTATAGGTTCTTATTCTAGTTTCAGAAGGTTAGGTTTAACCTGCAGGGCTCTAATTGGAAATTTATTCTTCTTCTATTTTCGTATCTGTGTTAGAAACGTTTGCTGAAAAATCGATGTTATGAGTACTGGGATAAGTTTGCTAAAGCTCTATCTAAGTCAGTAGTCGGTATTCTGTTCACCGAACCCGACATTCTTAATATGTATTGCGAACAATGGTTCAATGCTACGTTTGTTATACCGCGTATTTATCGTTCTAAACGTACAGTTCCATATGTATCTATCATTGAAAAGTGTTTTATATGGTTCAATAGCAACCAAAGGGATTCTATTCCCTTACCTATGACGACCTGGATTTACTGTTACAATTCCCTGAGTCTTTTTGTTCTTATTTTTTTTATTTCTCTAATTGTGTGTCCTGGTGTATATGCTATTTGTGCTTTGAAGACGTTTTTTTCACATCCTTCCATTTCTCTCAGTTTATCTTTCTAACGATTGTATGAAAGAAATTTTCTAGTGTTAAAATTCTTCACTTCTCTAGTTGCGTCCTATATCTGATGTTTAATCATAATATGTATATTAACAGACCCAGAATTGAGTATTAATTCTCAAATAAAGCAAATACTCAAAAGAGATGAAATAATGAAAATACTCTGAGAAAAGTTCATCTAACAAGAGAATAGTTTTTTATGCGAAAATTGTTCCCCGGGGCACTGAAAAGGATATTCTAAGGTCTAAAAATATGTTTGGCGTAATCGCGTTCAAAAACTATATCAGATCCGTGAATATTAGACTTATATGTGAGGGTGCCGATTTTGACTCTTATCGTTCCCCCCGTCCTTTGTCAATTGCTTCGTAAAATTCCTGTAAACATGTTTGTTAATTATCATATGTCAGAAGTTCAAACTTTAAAATATATATATCTTCTGAAGTATTATAAATAACAGAACGTTTTGTATTCAGTCAAGTCTAAGGTAATTATCTCATTTTTTTCAGCCTATCTTTGTATTTCCTATCAAAAAAACAAATATATATATATAAAAAGACAAACTAAATAGTTCTTTTTCACTTCCTATCATGGTTCCTCTTCTAGTCATAGTTTAGTCTCCACTAGTCTATAGTGAAAAAAAAGAAACCGCATCGTTCTGATGACATTTTTTCTTGCATTTCCGTTTATAAGACGATAACTTCTCCATTTCTTTTTTCTGTATTATTATTGGATAGTTTTCTCTATTTTTTTTTGTTCATATAAACGTGCCAAGTAAATTGAGTGAAAAAAACATAGTAAGATTTTTGAAAGATCTTTGCGTGACCCTTTACACGAGTATATTAAAAACTTCAATTCTCATTATACTTATTCCTCTTGTTTTTCTCTTGTTGTCTCGTGTTTTTCCAGCACTAAACACTAAAATTTTTATTTCTTCTGTTGCCCGTCAATACTGATAATGTTATTGTTTTTCCATGTATAAAAGAAACATTATTTTAGATAAATTCTTATTATTAATGATATGACATATATAGTCTTATGTAAACAACAAAAATATTTTCGTAAATGTGGATTAAATTAAGAAATGAACTAACGTGTCAATATGGTATGTACATAGCCCTGAAATCTGTTTCTTTTTTATTCCTGAATTGAAATAGGATATTCTAGATTATTGGTCATGTCCATTAATCCTACTCTCTGTCGTTCGACTAATCATAAATCAAGCAATTATTGTACTCTTACTAATCGTCAGGCACCAATACAAACAAGATCATCACCATATTCGAATTTGATTATTGATGAACATTCAGTATACTGTCCTTCAACCCAAATATATCATCGAATTCTATATTCAACACAACCTATTCAAATTATAAGAACACCTTCAGTTGCATCAGCACCATTAACAGTCAATGAAGAACAATTTCTAGTACAAAATAATTTTCGTTTTAGTGTAATATTTTCTGTTATCTGGTTGTTATATTGTTGGATATTAACCGAACACTATAAATTTAATTTTGGAAAATTTACGTTAATTATTCGATTATTATTTTGTTTGCTACATGTATTGACAATATGGAAAATATTTCAGTATATAATGAAACTGATACATCGATTTCAATGCTTGATAAAAAGAATTTGTGTTTTATTACCACAACAAATGTCACTAATTATTTTCTCACTCATTTTATTTCTACTTTTAACGATTGTTTTACATTTTAAACAATTTTTACGAGATGTTTTTGCTGTAGTAGATTGATTTCGATAAATAAAGACTTTTCAACTCAATTGTGTTGGAATAAATCGTTAAAAAAAAAAGTTGTGTAGCTTGATACGCCAATCATTGATTAGAGTCTTCTCAAATTGATCAATTTCTAAGGCGAAGCCACATATGTTAGCTCTACGTCGTGCTTTGACGATACGAGTTGTTCTACAAATCTAGATGTTTGAAAAAAGAATCACTAATAGTTAACCATATTTATTGAGACTTTTATAAAACTTTTTTAAAATCCTTTAAAAATCAATCGAAGGGTATAAAGCAATAGAGATTCTAGTAGAGGACATCTCAGACTATTTAGTCACATTAGAAACTTGAAATTGGCTTTTCAATTAAAAATCGATTTCTGAGAGCGTCCTCCTTAAGGCTATCTCCCTCTTCAGAAAACGATATCGGAAATCACATAACTCATGTGGCTGAAACTTCTGAAGAATATCGTCCATGATAAGATAATTTCAATCCCATGTCCAGTGGATTGTTACAACTTTCCTACTTTTAAAAATTATTTCGATATAGAAAGAAGAATTCTAGAATTTTAAACAGAAGAAACGTTTCTTTTCCCCTGTCTTCTATATGCAGCTACTTTGTTGTGTATGTCGCACTTTTCTTATCAGTGTTTGCGTGTTTCCTCTAATCTTACAAGCAGGATTCTGGTGTTTTGGTAATTGTCGCGAGAAAGTTCAATGCCGATAGAGAAAACGACATTCTACTTGTTTCAGCGCAATCCTGCTTGCGTTTCATTAGGCATCTAGCAAAAAGGGAGAATCGCACAAGTACATTATACATCTGATTTCTGCTCATGCTTCTCCTTTTCTTCCTTGTCCCTTGGTGTCACATGTGTGGCAATGTTTGCACACGCATATCTTGTACTAGAAGAGATATCTCCCGTTTTGCTAGATGCCTAATATTTCTGCTGTTCTGCATCGTTCTGACGTAAATAAGCATAACAGATATCAAACGGAAAAATTAGATTATAAATTTATCATAAAGAAATAGTGCACAGTTGAAAATTTTAGATCTTGAAGTTATTTTATCTAAAAATCTTATGTAAAATATAATGATTAAAAATTTGAAGTAATACATCTGTCTGTTTGTCTTCAGCAAATGTCGCTTAAAGAAGGATCAAAACAAAAATTTGGTATTTGAAGAAATTTTCTATATCCTAGTATTCTAAACAACTTGTTGCAACAATTCTGATAACAACCCTTTTTGAACAGTTTATTTCGCATAGAGCTTCCGAAGATCTTGTAAATTGACTTGTAAACTTGTTTATGCGTGGAACTTATCAACTTTTTTGGGTAAAGCAGTATTCTAACCATTGTAAGAACAAGCTATTCTAATAGAAAAAGATGTTTAAATTGTTTTTATCACCCATACTTTCTTCAAACAACGATAAAAAAATGATTAAACTTCAAAGAAGTGACATTCAGAGGCGGCGGAACCACTAGGCTGGGTAAGGCTTAAGCCTTACCCGGATTTGGCGCTGTTAGGCTGAGCCTTACCCCGTTTTGATGTAGAATTTTGAATTTAGCACTATGTTATTTAGATAATACTTGGTTACATTGGCACAAAGGCCTCATTTATCTGAATAAAAGATCAAAAGACGTTTGGCTGCGTGTATTAAACTCGGCTTTTTTTCACTGATCTTAAACGCAGAGACTAACATGAGATATGTGCAGTGAGGACAGAGGACTGGATCACGATAAAATGTTAACTTTTGGCATCAGAAACGCCAAGAAACCTCTAAATATATATTGTCTTTTGTTCAAAACAGCGTAGTGATCCTTTAATCATATAGATATGCCACGTTTTTCAAACAAATTTACTTTGATTAGTCTAGCGTAAACTTTATGTTTTTTGGCCTTTTTGCTAGGAACGTCACTTTTTTTGGAGTCTGAGTAAAAATAGCTTGGATTCATGGAGAAAATTCATGGAGAAGCAAGAAATGAAAAACTCACTTCAGATATCGTCTTATGATTTTTACACTTTTGCTTCTCTTAAATCTCCTTTCACACTTAAAACCATAAGACTGTTCGTCCAAAAAACTACGGCAAATGCAATTCTCTTTGTTTGATATGTCTTTCTTCTTCAATTGCCGATTTTGTTACACCCAACGTTTTGTTTTATTAATTGTAAACAGGCGTCATGTTCATGACAAATGTTCTATCTATTTTTTTCTAACACAGCAAACAGTAAAATGTTTTTGTTTGTGTCTAGTTGAAGCGACATACTTTATCACAGAACATATCAGCTTTAACACTGCCTTGTGCGAACAGATCTTGTTTTAACCGACCGTCTGTGTAATCATAGTAGATTATTCTTCCCGGTAAAATAGTCTCTATGCGTGTCGTTCTCGTGTGACGCATAGATTAAGAAAAATTCTAGAACATTCGAATTCACAAAGAATATCATTGTTTTCAGTTCGGTTATAAATGTAAACACATAGAATACGCCTTTTTCATCTATCTATTGCAAATCTCTTCTCTTATTTATTCGTCTATTTAGCTTCTCTTCTTTCAGATACATATTCAGAAACATATTCTCATACGATTTACAATAAAAAAAGTTTATCGTACAAAAAAAGTTCTAATTATTCATTTTTAAAATTAATAATTATTAATGATGGCACATACACATCAAGACAGTGAACATCATATGCCGGTTGGCCGTTTTCCACGACGATATTTTGATTTTGAAAATTTTATGGGTAAGATCACGGTTTACCATATTCTAACGCAAGTTTTTAACGCAAAATCTTTAAGATGCTCAATCGATTCAACTGATTGAATGTGAACGACTATTGCAGTTTCAATTAAAACCTAGATGTGAATTTCTACAAGTGTTCAGATAAGATTGAGAGCTGTGTGAAACGAGTCATAGGCACGATTTCAAGGATCGTTGCTGTATGTCTATCGTCCTTGAAAATATTTATATCCTCAACATAAAAGAGAATTAAGATTAACTCCTACATGCTTTTTTATAAGTAAAATAATCCTTTTTAGGACCATCACTTGATTTGTTTGATCCATTCGATGAATATGATTTAGCATTTCATCCGACTCCGTTTCCCTCATTACGGTAAAATGGGTGCTTTGAATTTTATTGTTTTTATTATTCATTCTTCTTTCGTATAAATTTGTAGTTGGATGACTGAACCTCCAAAAAAAGAACGAGACGCCCTTACTGGTCAAACACGTCGAAAAGCAGAAAAAGTTCGCTTTACACTTCCTGTTGGTGCATATCGTCCAGAAAATCTTAGTGTAAAAGTAATTGGAAGAAAACTTGTTATCGATGCAAGACAAGAAGAACGCGAAGGTATGTTTTGTGAATTTAATATTCTCTTTAGAAACTCTTGTGTCTTTTGTTCCATTTAAGGGGATGATTTTAATGTCAAAGAATTTCGAAAACATTATGACTTGCCAGAAAATGCCAGTTTAGAGCATATGGCTAGTTTTGTTACTCCAAATGGAACATTAGTGGTTGAATTCCCGTTAATAACAGAAACAAAAGAACGAGCCGATCATCAACATCAATTAGAACGTTATGGAACCGATGATAATTTATTTAACTATGATGAATTTTTTAAAAGTACATTTTTACCAAAAATAACCAATGACGAAAAAACCGGTGAAAAAAAAATCGATATGGAATTAGATATGACTGGTTTTCGTCCCGATCAAATACAAGTTCATGTTAAAGGTAGACGCATTAGTTCTTATCTATTATTTAGTTATTTCGTTACTTGTCTTTTCTTGAAGATCATGATTTGGTTGTACAAGCAGAATCAAATTACAAAGACAAAGATCGTGCAGCAAGATCATTCATTTATAAAGCGGTCCGTCTACCACCTGGTAAGCTGAAGTTGTTTATCCTAATTCCATAAGTGATTTTTATGCGTTATCTTTTTCTCTTTCTAGGTGCTAATACAGACAAAATGCGTTCATTTTTACATAATGGAAAAAAATTGGTTATTACGGCACCGTATAATGAAACAAAACCGGCATTAGAACGTGGTGATCCAAATAATAAAATAACTGGTTCGTCATCACCAAGTTCAACACGATCCACACTGGGCTCAACGCATTCAACATTGGAATGAAACAAGTAAAAACAATGATAGAAATATTAATTGATAATACTGAACTGTACTAACTCATCTTTTGTCTGTAGTATTTTTTGTCGTGTTTTAAGAAAAAACAAGTTCGTTTGTACGCTTAAATTCAAATTTTTTTATTGTATTTTATGAAAAGAGAGACAATAAAGCAGAGTTTTTATTTCCTAACAGTCAGTTTCTGTTCTGAAACCGATTGAAACATACAATAGTGTATAAACAGAGACAAAGCGATATACCGCCAATCGTTGTTACATGTCTTATCTGGCAGTTACAAGTGGAGTGTTTCTATACAAGCTACATGCAGATACGCTTTTCTCGGAGGGGCAATTTTATCTTACGAGGGAAGGCCCCCAACTGTTCCAACGCTTTTGAGACAAAACTTAGTGGACAGTAGGTAATCGAGGGTGCTGATTCCGAATATCACCATGGTTTTTGCGTATGGGCCTCTAGAGACCCCAGTTTTTGAAAAACCAGGTTTCCAGAAACTTTAAAAAATAACCACAACGTTTCTTAGTGAGGCATGATTGTAGTCCGCACATTTCTGATTAAAATGAGACATCTCGCAGCTCTACATGACCTTTCTTTGCAAAGTTATAGAATTCATAAGAAAAGCCCTAAATTAATTTCTTATTTCTGTAGCTTTGAGCTAACAATGAACATTTAGGGCTTTTTTTATAAATTCTATAACTTTGCAAAGAAAGATCATGGAGAGCTGGGAGATGTCTTATTTTAATCAGAAATGTGCGGGCTACAATCATGCCTCACTAAGAAACGTAGTGGTTATTTTTTAGAGTTTCTGGAAACCTGGTTTTTCAAAAACCGGGGTCTCCAGAGGTCCATACGCAAAAACCATTGTGATATTTGGAATCAGGACCCTCAACTACCTATTGTCCACTAAGTTTTGTCTTAGAAGCGGTGGGATAGTTGGGGCCTTCCCTCGTTAGTTCAATTTTATACCGTTTTAATTTCTCTTTTATCTCTTTAAAAAGGGAACAAGATACCTATTTTAGAAAAATAAAGGGCAAAAAACTGATGTTTTCTTTAATCAGATTGGTTATGGATCAATTTGATTGCTTTAATAGCAACAGTTCATTGTATTTAATTTTTCAGTTTTTTTAACGTTGAACTTGTGCTGGCGTCGCTTGAAATTGACAGATGGATTTTTTCATGTTGAATTATTTCACCAATAATCTGGTGATAGTGATTTCGACTCCATAACCAACTGTAACTATATCGTGGCCGTTACGGAGAACATGTCTTTTCTAATAATTGAAATTTTTATTTTTTCACGGCTAAGAGCTTTTAAAAATCATTGTTTTCAAACATTGGGAACGATTTTAGTTTGTCTTTTCATAGCATAGTCGTCAGAATAAAACAGTAGTGCAATGAACGATCTCTTATTAAATTTCATACTAAAGGAGTTTTTTACTTAATTTATTCGATAATAGTGACCAAATCTTTCTTGTCGATTTGAATGAAATTAAAAGAATAAATTATAGGAATTCATCTTATCATGATCATTACTTCAAATCAAAACTAAAAGAGGAAAACTACTATCAACGCCAGATTATAATGAATGTGGCTGTTTTCTAGATAACTTTTAAATGAAAGAGACCTGCGATTTTCGCCAGTGTATAGCCAAGATCTATTAGCATCTTTTCTATACCAAAAGATTTTTGAAAACCAGTTTTTCAGATGGTGTACCTGTGAAGTCTTTGAACGAGCAGATCGAAGGTAAAAAAGTTACCATATCGACAATTCATAACTTACCCAAAATAGATTCAGACTACTTCAAAACATCAAAATAAACTGTTTTATCTACGCAATACCTTAGAATCTAGCAACAACAACAAAATTTGACTTAGATATTTACACATTTAAAGATAATTATTAACACAAAATTTGGTTCTTATGCTGTCTCATTTGATCTGCCTCCAACGCTCGTCAATGTTGTAGTATTATCATCAATAAACATATTTCATCCCTTTATTTGGATGAAATCGTCGTCGCACGTAATGATTTTCCAACCATGATTAGATCAATACTGCATGAAATTAAATTGGTTTCAATTTCTGAATTTTAAATACGTTTGGTCAATAGCAAAAAATTCAACAACAATGTATCAGCAATGATGAAAAACCATGTTTGGAGTTTTCATATTAAAGATGATATTGCAGGGATTTATTCTTAACGGCCTTCTATAAAGCTGGTATGTATATGTAGATTGAAATATTTAAGGTAGGGTGTTGTCACTCGGTATTTTTTACCGTTTCGTAGAGGACAGTTTGAAATACATACGGTAAAAAGTTTTTGGTCACCGGACTTGTAGTTTTTGAGAAAATTTCTTTTTAAAATTTTTACTTAAAGAAAAAGGACCACTAAAATTTTCCACTAATAGATTCAGCACCTTGCACCCTCCTGTTTAACCGACTTTTTAATGTGTCGTTACTTGGTATTCATTTTGTTTAGAAACTCGCACGGTGTTGATAATTTACCGCTGGTAGACTGCAAGAAAAGAAATGTCAGACGTTCGAGAGGAAAAGTAACTTGTAGTCATATTTTTATAAATTTCTCGAGCACTACAAAAACATACACATGATACACTTGTTCGAGTCCAGACAAATATTTGTTATGTTGTATCAATCTGTTCATAGTGGAAATAGATCTAAGGATTTATTTCACATAAGAGGATAAAAAAAAAAAGAGTATAGAAGTGTTTTAAAAATAGAAGAAAAACAAAATAGTTCAACATAATTAGAAGTCCACACATTTACCTTTACGTTCCCAATCCCCATATCGTGTTGGTTCGGGTCCACTTGGCCCACCAATTTCGCCTGTGTATGGATTTTTATTATCTGGATAACGTTCTAACGGTTGTTTTTCTTGATCTGGATGATCATCTAATTTTCCACGCGGCGTTTTATCTTTTAGATTAGTAGTGGTCGTCGTAGGTTTTGCTCCATCTTCCTTTTTTGTTGATAGATAAATGTTTACAGGAAACAATTTTGTTGAATGTATTTGGAGCAACCTTGACGAAATTAGACGTTGATAGAATGTTAACATCTATAACACACAGATCACTGATACATCAAAAAAAACCCAACAAATTGGAGATTGAGCAAGAGATATTTTTTAACAAAACCTGTATTCATGTTGAATAAAAACGAACACGAAAAATACAAAAAATATTGTATATACATATAGTCTTAATAGAACTATATCAAAACGAAAGTCCGACATGTGCTTTTATTAGTCTCTTCGTTTAGACCGTTTAGATGATGACTGTCTGTCGCTCGTGCGATGTTTGGACGATGATGAATGTAATGGTAATGGCGATTTTCTTCGGTAACTGGAGGACGACAATGATGAATGACTTTTACTCGATACTGATTGTTTATTATCAGATTTTCGATGATGTTCATGTTTTCTTTGACTTTTTTCATGCTCAGAATCTGATGATTCCGTTGACGATGAACGTTTTCGTTTTAGATGTTTTTTCTTTCTAAATGAAAACAAAATCAATATAAATTCTTCTGAATCCATGTAACGTACTTTTTTGATTTCAATGATTTGTAAATCGTTTTCATGCCATGTTTTTTAATTAAACTAATTAACAATTCATCTACTTCTTTCTCAGTCATCATTTCATTTTTGTCTGACGGACTATCTAAAACAGATCAGCCTTTATTTTAAAATAGATTTAATTAATGTTAAATTGAACAATTACCATCTACTTCTTCTTCACTAATATCCACGTCATCTTCCGTGTCTGCGTCAGATTTTGCCATTTTTCGCTGTTTGCCTTGACGATGTTGTTGATCATTTTGTTTACGAGTTGATGTTGAACTTCTTTCTTTCATAATCGGTTGGTTTGGTGGATTGCGATCCGTAACAGTTGAATCTAAAACATTTATACAAGTTATTGAAGACGACAAGAGATTAAGAAATAAATCTTATACCTTTTGGAAGTATTTTAATCCCTAACGCGGCCATTAATGCTTCTTCCTCTTTTTGTTTAGCCGCGCGAAACTCTGCTGATTTCATGTTCTCTGTTTCACGATCTTTTGCATACCTAAAACGAAACAAATACAACCATTCTTTTCTTTATTTTTCGTATGTTAAACAACTTACCAAGTAAGATCTTTTCCTTCTTGCCATCGACCAACAGGTGCCATAAGAGAATGACCAAGATAACATTCTCGATCTTTATCCGCTTTTACACTGTCCCAATTGAATTGATCTTTTCCACCTCTCGTGCCAGCTCTGAAGAAGAGAAGATTTCATTAGCAACATGATTTTTATGTCAAAAGCGATGAAAACATACCTCGTTGGATGAAACAGTGTCATTTAAAAAGGGATCAAATAAAATATCTGAAAAATAAATTATTCATGGACAAGATGCTGGAGAGTGGACAACTCTTACTCTTTATACTTAAAGAATAATGAAGAAAATGTACGATAAGATTCGTCTTCAGTTTGCGTTGAAGCTGTTTTCTTTTAAAACAATAATATTCCAGCAGAAACTATATATTTAAACAGTGTGTATGTAGTAGAAAAAAAAGAAAAACATCATAATCGAATCTAATATACATAAGGTAACAATGAAATTAGGAAGAGAAAAAAAGTAAGTAGTTTTACTGTCACTACAACACGAAGAGATAAGAAAACAAATAAAAGTAATCTTAGAGATAGCTCAGTTGACTAAAACTTAGGTACTATATCACGCCGAACAAGCACATGAAGAAGCAGCATGCGTCGCTGAATAAACAAAAGCTTCTGTTGCTAAATTTGGATAATTTTCAACTAGTGTACGCCAATCTTCACTTTCTGTTACTTCCAAAATATTTTTCATAATAAAATCCAGTACTTTTTTTTTCAATTGTGTTGCATTATGTAAATCAGCAACAATATACAGTTCAGTACAATTTGCAACACTCAAGGATTCCATCATAATTAATTCAGCTTTTTGTTTCAGCAATTCTAACGCGTACTTATCAGCTGCTTTAAATATATCAATAGAATTATCTTCAATATCTTCAACATCACCAGTGTAGATATAATCCAATAATGCTCGAACAGTTTCGGCAGTTAAATCATTTATTTCAATTGTGGCATTTTGTTCTTCGAGCATGCTATGTGAAAACATAGCAGCAAACACGGGAGATCTCACCTAAAACAAAAGAACAAATTCAGTTCAGGCACAAAAATATGTTGTGAAAAGGGCACTTTAATCTAGACTAAAGATATAGTTAGTTAGATTGAATACCGTGTAAACTTCGTTTAGGTGCAGCTAGACCTTCAACCCTCTTGGAACTAGCTACATATATCAGTAATATTGTTACAAATGGGCTGCTGCACAATTTTTACAGATGGATTCTTTTGTTTACTTATTTTTGTTTGCGAATATTAATATGTACTCTCGGTTTAAGAAGGAATAATTTATTATACATGATAAAAAAAGGATTTTGTTTTTGCTATTCTCCAGCGGAATGCAGCTGTTTCTATTCAGGAAACGGAGTAATCATTCAATAAAGAAACACTAGAACTTACACTCAATATGCTTCGATGAGCATGAAATGTAGTGGAATAGTCGCTTGATGACGATAATGAGGTTGACAATTGTTGATTACTTTCACAAGAGGATTCACCAGCGCTACCTGAATTTGTGTTGTATCGTCGGCGCTTTGTTCGTCGTTTCGTACATGCCTCTTCTTTACTAGAATCATTTGCTTTTTCTGTCACAAGAAACTGTGGTGTCGGCTGTAAATGTTGATGATGATTGGGTGGTCGAACAACAATTGTTACATCACAAAAATTATCACGCTGCTGATTGTTATGTTGCAATAATGATCCCATATGTAACGATAAACTCAACAGATTTTCATACGTATTCTTTTTTTCATATTGTATCCGTTCAGAATAAGATTCTCCAACTATGATTACACGTGTAAATATTTTTAAACTTTGATCGGAATTTAATAATTCTGATTTTCGTTGATTTGTTAAAACTAGTCTTAATAAATATTCGGTGTAACCCCAATCACCGCCTTGGGGAAAAATGTGATATGGTGTTTTTCCTTAAAAAGAAATGAACATCCTATTTTACTTATATGAAAGAAAAGAAATAAGTATTACGTACGCGTTACATGAAATTCTCCTTTACTATTGATAATTGAAAATTCAGCTTTTGCTTTTAAATCACTTCGTCCTCGAACATATTTGACAAATAATGATACATAATCTAATGATTTTTCATTGACTCCTTTCGGATAAAGCTTCAGACACCAAACACTATCAGTATGTGATCCAAAGTTCGGCGAAAAATAGGAACTGAATAGAACACGTGGAGATTGTGGATCATCTAAATAAGATGGAAAATGATCGATTGTCCACAAGTGAGTGAAAGCATCGATTCGTCGATCAGTGACACTGATAGAATGAGGTGGATTATTTGATAATGGTTTATTTGTACGAAATATTGAACGTTCCGGTGCAGACATGTACTATGAGCAAATCTACAATAAAAATACAATTTTTCTGATGTGCCATCTGTGTTCAATACCAACGAAAGTTACTACTGCACACGGCATTTTCTAACCGAAAGTTGTAGGGATGACCAGGGTAAAGTTTATTGACGTTACGTTCGTAGTGCGTACTCAGGAAACTAATTGATATTTATGTACGGAAAGTGTGAGATCCTTCAAAGATCCCTCAATTATTGAGTGAATAAATTAATAGAGAACGGACGAGAAGAATAAAAATACAATAAAACAAAAAGTACTTGAACATGGGACGGATAATGTTTTGAAGAAAAGAAAAGACGTTGAGCAGAATCAAAAATAGAAAGAGAACCGATCTAACGATAAATTTAAAAAATTATACACGTCTGAATAATATATGCGACAAACAAAAAAACTACAAGCTAAAGTCAGTGTCGAACTCTAAAAGGAGCGATCAAACCATCTAATCGCGCGAAATAAGAACATCAAGCCTATTATAAGAACATATAAAAAAAAGAGGAGAACTATTAACATAAATTTTTTATGGACGAACGATAAACACCAGACTTAGCTCTAAGAAATAATCTTCACAATAAAGAAGGCGATTTAGCTGAAGATCCCAAACTTGCGGGAATCAAAAAACAAACCTACCATATTAGAGAACGAAAATAAGGTTTTTTCAAGCGGTACGAGCAGTATTTTTAGCAAAGTCAGGACCGAAAAGACGTTTTATTTCGCAGAAACACTAATGACAAGTAAAAGCAAAATCGACAATTTTTCTAGAAAAGCAATGAGGAGAAGGCAGTAAACGACAAGATTGGTGCAAATATTCCGATAGCATTATTTACATTCTTCCAATTCTTTCGATTTTTCTCATTGATTTAACGGTCATGGAATGCCGTTGCTACGACGTTAGACGTTTTTTTTGGCAGTTTTTCGTTGCCTTAAATACATTGCAAAAGAATTGTAATCAATAATTAACCATTCGAAATAAAATTGAGCTTGTAATTGTCTAAGTACACTTAAACTACACTTAGACCATACTAACGATTTAAATAAACGCACTTTTTTACATTTATTTAAATCACTAGTATAGTTTAAGTGTATTTAGACGATTACAAGCTCAATTTTATTTTGAATGGTTAATTATTCTTTTGCAATGTATTTAAGGCAAGGAAAAATTGCCGGAAGAAAACGTCTGAGAATCACGAAAGGAAGCACTTTTTTTTCTTGACCGTTAGATCACATGTTCAAAACTACATAAACTTTGTTCATTTCGCTTAGTCTTAGGTAGAATGAAGATGCCAAGGGCATTACTCTGGGTTGTAGACGCAGATTATTGGCTTTGAGTCGTGCCCTCGGATTAACTCTACTAAAGGCTACGCGTCCAACTTACCTGTTTTCAGTTATTATTAAATTAGATTACTGCTGCAAGTTTTATGATAGTTCGTTTTCACTTGTTGATTCTGTTATGAAAATTCTTCATCTATCAGTTCAAGCATTTCTCTTCAGGTACATCCTGATTGGTCTCTAAACTATCATTATACTGACAATTTTGCCACTGCAGAGGATAAATATATATACAAAATGTCGTTGTGGTTCATTGTCGTACTGCTTATTTAATTTTTTACAGTTATAGAGAATTATAAGAAATGTTCATCGTTATAGAAGAAACTGTGATGTAAGCAACTTGTTGTTATTATCATTTTTGACGCAGGTATGCATTTTTACTATCAGGCAAAAATAATTCAAAATGGGCTATTTCATACAAAGTCATTTTCGTCCTTTTTTTTATTGCTAATTAGCAATAGATCGTGGTGTTGCGTTTAAATAAGGTAGTTCTATTAATAGAACTACCTTATTTAAACGCAACACCACGATCTATCACCCCCTCTATGTTGTCACTTTTTTATATACTCTACGCTTTGGTCATAATGTTCTACCACAAAAGTAATTTTAAACAATTCTCTCGGTTAGATCTTATTTCTGTTGATTTTCCCCCAAAAGTAGCAATAGCTAGATACTGCTGTCACCGTCTGTGGGTGATTATAGCTATTCTGTAGATGTAGATGAAGTGCGTGTAAAATATCACTGCTTCTGCACGTGTGCAAAACGTATATTTCACACTCGTATCAAGCGTTTTACACGCGCGCTTTCGTCTGATTCGACTGGGTACAGCGCTACTCACCGAAATTTATCCTTGAAGGCTGTGTGTTGGACTACTGCGTAAATGGCGTTAGACTGACCAATCAAAAATTTGATAAAGCAACTACGAACAGCCGAGCAAGCAAATTAACCATCCATACAATAGATAGCGCATCTTTTATTCTCACTATCATCTTTTTTCGGCTGAGTGGTTGACAGGCAAGAAACGGCGAAATAACTGATGTTGCGAATGCAAGAAATGGCAAGAGGTGTTTTTAATGATGAGACTTAGTCTTAGTCTTAAAAGTAGAAACGGTTGGTCATGAATTAGGGAGTCTAATCGACTGAGTAATACAGTTTAACGTGTGCGGAAGATAGATCTCGTCGTTTTTTGTGATACTATTATGACTGATCGTCACTTTGCTTATTGTAGACGAAATTCTAACTATGAACTGATAAGGATCTCTTTTTAACACGATGCAGTAATGTAAGGCATATTGAGTGAGCTTTGAATGAAATGAATGCCATTCATGTAATGTAAGTACGACACTGTTTCAAAAAATAATCTGAAAAATAAGGCAAAATCTCAACTTGTTATTTTTTCTTGCTTTCAGCATGGGCACAACGCGTTCTGCGCCCCATTTTCAGCCGAATCTTCCAATTGAAAATCTCGCAAGAAAGCGTAAATTATCTGCAGTGACATTTTTAGGTTTGTAGAAAACTTCTGTTCAACGTTGATCAGAACTAAATTAACGTTTTCTTCTAGTTTTTGGAATTTTATTACTGAGCTCGGGCGCATTATTAGCCAGTTTCCAAAAACAACGTTTTTCTGTAAGTCTTTAACCAATTTCATGTCTTTACATTCAATATCTCGTTAATAAAGCGTAGTACACCTGCATATTTTTTCTCATTTAGGTCTCATTTATTGTTTTCGGGTATGTGTGCACGCTTAATTTACTGCGAAGTAGATCTGTATTTATTTTATTTATATTCTTTTAGTGCCATCAGTATTGCCTTTTCCTTTATTTATTGGATTAGTGCAGAAAGAATCTTATCAGCATTGAGAGAAGTAAATGCTGAGCGTTTTCAAGTGAGTAATCTTTAATACGCAACACAAATAAATTCATAGCATTTTCGATAGTGCAGTTTCCTACTTTTCTATTTTATTCTCAGTATACTGCGATATACTGTCACTAAATCAGGTATTGACAAAAATGTCATCTGATTCTTTGTTTTTATTGTAGAATGCACGTCATCAAGGAAGGATATATTTTGAAGGAGTGAATGATGGCGGACGGTGAGTCTCTTCTATCTTCTTTCCTGTTGCTACTTGCTATTTGAGCTTTTTCATCTCTAGTAATGTTGATCGCTGCCAAGATCTCCCAAGTTACGAACAAAGTGTTTTGCCTGTACCAGGTATACAATCCTCATTTTTTAAAGTTTTGAATCGCTAAATTTTTCTTTTCTCTCTATGTTTAGATGTGTTGCCGCCTGCTTACGAGGATGCAGTCAAACAAAAATCAAATAATCAGTCTCCTATATGCAGTATTCGAACTGTTCAACCACAACAACAGCATCAACAACCAATTAATTCAATATCTTCAAGGATCTCTTATAATAGAATAACCAGTAGCAATGCTAACTCAAGACCAGTGAATAGTTCATCTTCTGGAAATGGTCGTCCAAGGATAGACACTGAGAAAAAACGTTCAGCTAATAACTCGCTGACAACTAGAACAACACCTTCTGGAGCCGCAGCTACTTCTAACACGACTACACCGTTACCATTGTTACCAACAGTTCATTCATCACCAAATAAAATATGAGAAGCTGACAGTCAAAATGTATTTTTAACTTGTATATCTCTTTATGTATGTATATCGTGAATGATTTTGTTCCTGTCATCCTTAACTTTTGACCTCGTATTATATTCTCAAACTCTTGATCTCTCATAGTCCGTGTTGAATGCTCAAGCAAAGGAATCTGTTTTATTATCATTTTTTTCTATCATTTTTATTTTCGTAAGAGTGCAATAATACATCTATATAAAACGAAGTCCTTCTAGATCTTGTTTAAATGTCATTTTGTTTTTCTTTCTATTTCATTTGTATAAGCCTTTTTGTCCATATTTTTCTAAACTTTTAGTTTAGCATAGAGGATAGTTTTAGTCCAAACATATTGAGAATGAACACTATGTAAAAACTAAAAATAAAACTTGAAATATCGTTTCAAAAACAAATTCTGCTCTACTTTCATTTTAATTTGATGTGAAAGTTTTTTGACTCTTTAAAACTCTCATATACATTAGTATGTGGTTTAACTGGTTGAAAAAAAGAAATGTGCTTAGTTTTGTAAGCTTTTTCAACGTTTAAGACATGATATCGATTATGCAAGGAAGGATATTTCATATCCAAACAGTTCTTTCTGTTATATTTTATTTGTGAAACGCATATGGTTAGTGTTGTTGTTGTTTCTGTTGTTCTGATTATTATCATTACTGTTTGTAATACTGAAGAATACAGCTGATTCTCTCTCTCTCTCTCTGTCTTATTGTGATTTTAACGAACTTTTTTCGTATAATGTAGATCGGTCTCTTCTTACCTTTTGGGTTTTTTTATTGTAACAATTAGAAGAAGACAAATCAAAATGATCTCCTTATTGTCTATATATATGTGATCTTTTATTTTAAACTCAATTTTCGATTTTGGAAAAAAAAATAAAGAAATGTTCAACTGATGCTAGTCTTCCGACTTATTGTTGTTCTCGATGTTCTCATAATTCATAAAAACAGTCAAATGCATTACGTACGGCTAACTTTCTGTCTTATTTATAACAGTAATAAATTACGCTCTTGATTTGAATGTATAAGAATAATAAATATTGTCCGCAGACAGCATTTTATTTAGAAACATCGATCTATGGGTTCCTGTATCTTTCATCTGAAACGCTCGATTGTCTAAGATTTTTAGGTTTTTTGCAAGAAGAGCTATAATCAGTCTCTCTTTTCTTACGAAATATATGATTAGATAAATGTCTATCTGATAATTAGCTTAAAATTGGATTTAATAACGATAGTAAAATTGAATTCTTGTTAGATAGAAGATACTGTTTTTTGCCTGTAATTAATTAGTCTAGTACAATCAGTCCATGACAGAAGACCGCAAATGGTTCGTTATCGTACTGGTTATTGGATTTTTTGCAGTTATAGAGAATTATCAGAAAATTCCATCATTATAGAAGAAACTGTGATGTGAGAACTTATTTTTCGACAAAAAATACAGTGAACAGTTGCTCTTTATCACATAATTTTTTTTGTACTTCAGAACAATTTAGAGAAATTGCAATTCGGAGAAAATAGCACTTTTTGAAAAAAGATCCTGTCGGCTTTTAGTCAAAAGTCGCCCATCGTAAAACAAGCTAAATTATATATAGCTAGATGTAATATGGAATACTGCACCGATTTGTCGTTTCCTGATTCGTCAATAATCAATCTGTTGTGAAAATACGATGCTCCAAATAATAACTTTTTTCGGTTGAAAAACGGATGCGAACTGCCAAAAAAATTTTCCTATTTAAATCAAATACTATTTCAGGTTAATGTTTAAAAACTGCACAAACACATGACCCATCTATCTATTTCATGTAAAATATTTCAAAAAGTTATTTCGTCAGCAAAATCCTATTTTGTTTGATATGATTCTAATAAAAATCTTTTTTTTTTCAATAATTTCTCATTTCTAATATACAACAGTAATATATTTATAATCTGCTATTTAAATTAATAAATCTTTTTGCATCTGACGGACATACAAATATACTGTGAAATAAAGTAGACATATCCTCATCTTGTACAGTTGTTTTTCCACTATAAAATTCATTTTTTGTACTTATTTTATTAATACAATTAGAAATGAAAAATTATTTTTAGAGCAGAAACCACAAATGGATGTCATTTTTCATACTCCATCTAGCTATATATGAATTAATCTTGTTTTGCGATCTGTGAAGTTTAACTAAAAAGTCAATAGATTCACTTAATCAATTAATTGATGAGATATAGATAACATCAGACTCGTGTGTGATACTGGTATGAATTGATTGAGAATATCTTATTTAACTCAAATTATCCAAAATGGTGAAAATAAAAGATAACAAAGAGCCAGATCTTGTATGGTTGAGGCATTTTTCAGCTGGTATATGTGCTGGTGCGATGTCTCGATCATGTACGGCTCCCATTGACAGATTACGAACATTCTTTCAAGGTAATCATTAATCTTTCAATATTATTATCTACATTATGTAATGATTTTTATATTGAGTTTTTTTAGTTTATGGAATGGATCATGCTGGACGAATGACAATTAAAACTACTTTATCCTCGATGATTCATGAAGGAGGTATTCAAGGTCTTTGGCGCGGCAATCTCATGAATATTTTGAAAGTGTCGCCGGTATATTTTATACCAAAAGTTTTTTTTGTCTATTTTTGACGTTTATTTTGCTATTTAGGAAATTGGTGTAAGAATGATGTCGTATGAACAATACAAAAGATTACTTGGACAAACAAATGAACATGAAATAACTGTTGCAAAAAAATTTATATGTGGTTCAATGGCTGGTTTTACGGCAACATGTCTAATATATCCAATGAAAACAATAAAAACTCGATTAACAATTAGACGAACAAATGAATATAAAAGTATATATGATTGCATTAGAAAAATTTATCACACTGAAGGACCTTTGGCATTCTATAAAGGAATTTTGCCAAATATTTTGGCAATTTTGCCCGCATCTGGTATTGATTTTGCGTTGTATGAAACATTAAAACGTTATGTTGAATATAAACAAAATCGACCAAGTGGTTCAATCGAAAAACTTTTATTAGGAAATGTTTCAATTGGAGTGGCCAATTTATTTGTCTATCCATTACTTCAAGTACGTTCCAGATTACAATCAAACGTAAACAGGACAGATACAATGACGCATATATTCAAAACGCTTTGGAAAAAACGTGGTATTAGAGGATTTTATAATGGTTTTGGATTGCATATGCTAAAAATGGGTCCTGCTAGTGGTATTTCATTTGCAACATTCGAATTTGTTGCAAAATTATTGGGTACAAAAGCATTGTAGTTAATACACATGACAAAAATTTACCGTATCGATATCACAACGAATCTCTAAACATTTAAGTCAAATGAACAGTATCACTTATCTACTTCTTTCAACTGCACAGGATCAAATATTATCTTTTTTTTCCATTAAAAATTAGGAAAACAATATAAATGTTCGTTTTTTGTGTTTCTGACTGGAAATATTTTTGTTGAGTATCATATATGACGCATGTGTATAAAATTCTGATGACAAGTTTAGAATTAGTGCTTCTGTGTGTATGTGTGTGCGTGCGTGCGTGCGTGTGTGCGTGTGTGTGTGTGCGTGTGTAGATCTGTGCTCTTTATTCGTTTTTTTAGATAAATATAATTGATCTAGGCAATTGTGGTATTGTATTTTCTATTTGTTTTTTGTTGTTTTTGTTGTGATCTTTTTCTGTAAACATGTGTGTGTGTGTGTGTGCGTGTGTTTATTTAACGAACGACATAGGCAATGTATTTTTCTTATAGAAAATTCTAAATAAACGTTGTAATAGATATACTAGTAGTAGATATACAGTAGTATCTATAAGAAAAGCATTCGCTCATTGGCCATTCATATGTGACTGGAATATTATTAACATTATCTATGCAGTTTTCTCAAAATAGAAAATCAACTTACAACAATAGCATAAAATTGTTTCAATAAACGTGTATAAATCAATAATATGATTGATGGAATATCAGACTGTATTAATAAGTCAACTAGGTATAGGAATTTTAGTATGAGCATTGTCGAAGCTAACCACAAAGGAAGAAGTGGAGCACTGAATCAACAAACAAAAGTAAGTATGATCAGACTCTCATAGAAATAAATAATCCTCTAAATTCTATGCCGGAAAAATTTCAATATCCGTGCTATGACTATAATTTGGAATAGGTAACTCTTGGAATAAATTTCTGATATCTTTTTCCCGAAGATATTTGATAATTAGGCTTGTATATAGCACGATTTGAATTTCAGAATCTTGTACGTTCTGAAATACTAATAACGACTTATTTGTGTTTGAGTCATTGTTTTTCTATCACGCAAGATACAATAATTTCGTTCCGTGGAGAAAAAAAGCATGTAATTTTCTTTCTACTGTTCACACTTTCCCTTAACTGACAGATGAATTACAATCTTATTCTTTTTGAGTAGAACTTATCTGAAATGTACTTCAGCTCTATAATTTTCGCTTGCTGTAGAGATTTTTTTATATGTCTAGGCTCCGAATATTATTTAATACCATTACTATAACTTATATCTTCATCGAAATGCTTCAGGTTATCAAGGATTATTTCTTCATTTTTTAGATGTACTATTAACGACATAGTTTGAGAAAAACTAAAACAAATGGATAACATATTAGGTAACAGTGTAAATTTTGAAGATACTGTTGATGCAACCAATATGGATTGGCCAACAGAATGGGATTTAGCCTATGATTTATGTCGAACGTTACCAGTGACAGGCTGTGATGAAAGCTATATGACGATTAATAATGAAAATGAAGTATCTATATTGAATAGAACGAAAGTTACACCCACACAATCACGAAAACGAAATTTTTCAAATACTGCATCATCTGTAACTCCTTTAAAACGTCGAAATACAACTTTGATAATGCCTGGCGACACTATAAATGAAACATTATTAAATGAAATTGTGAGTAAATGAGAGTAAACTCATCGATTTTTTATAAAAGATGCTTTACCCCTTATAAAAAAGCCTGCCCTGTGAACGTTAATTATTATTTTTTGTTTTTGAGTAACAACTTTTGAAATTATTAAGACCTAATGTGTAATTTGTTTGATTTAGGTATCACCATGGACTACACCGATCAAATCACAATTTACATCACTTTTAGGCAAAGTTATGAGTTTATTAATGAAACACCGCAATATTAGTTCATTACATGGTATTCATAAATTTGTTTATTCTTTGTTTCTGTTGCCTTCTCTATTGTTTGTTTTTGTCTTCTTTTCTAGAATGGCAAAAAAAATGTCTCGAGCAGCCTGTTCGACTTCAACATAGAAACCTTATTTATTCACTTCCCACAAGCGGTGGCAAAACACTTTTGGCGGAAATATTAATTTTTGACTGTTTATTGTCAAGAAAAAAAGATGCTTTATTTATTTTGCCATTTGTAGCAATTGTACAAGAAAAAGTAAGGCGCCGCTAATTCAAAAGTTCAGCACATTTTTTTCTGACTGAAACACAGATCACCGGGTAGATCTACCGATGCTGATCACGAATATGACCTTTTTTTTAATGTTAATAAAGTCTTCGCGAAGAAAATGGTAAAATACGGGGACGAGTGTAAAATTCCTAAAATTTTTCCGTTTTCAAAAACACCCTTAACTTTTTTCTGTCGCACTTCTTGTTCTTACCGTTGTGTTTTTCGAATTCCTTATATAAAAATGAATCTAGAAATATTGTTTAGAGCTTTATCACTTATTACATGTCCAAACTGCAAAATCGGGCTCTAATATCAGCGCCGATTAGGTTACCAATTTTGGTAATTTTATCTACTTTTTTGTATTAAGTGATGGAATCTTCATTCATACGACAGTCGAATCATCAATTCAAGCGCAAAAACTTAATGATTCGCGTTTTTTTTAAATTTTATTTCGTTGCTGAGAAATCTCATTTTTTCTAAATCAGAGACGAAAAAGTCGGAATTCTGCCCATAGTTCTCAATTTTCTCAATCAGAACTCAACTTTTGAGCAATAAAACGATCATATTCGGAATCAGGATCAAAAACTGAGTTGATTGACGTGTATTTCGAAATTTTTAGTTGATTTTCAGTTTTTGATGAAAATCCACGTAATTTTTCAACATTTTTCAAAATTCGAAAAATATTTCTATCCTATCCAACTACTTTAATTTTTTTCGAATTTTCACGTTGAAAAATTATAGAGATTTTCGCTTAAAACTGAAAATGGATGAAGAGTCGCTTGAATTGATGATTCGACTGGCGTTTGAATGAAGATTCCATCACTTAATACAAAAAAGTAGATAAAATTACCAAAATTGGTAACCTAATCGGCGCTGA